AAATAGAGTACAGCTTATAATCTTCTCACAGATTTAATATCCGCTACTTTTTAAGTTAATCAGTTTTACTGCTGCTATTATTTTTCTGTATGCTATGTTATCAGCTTGCTAATTTTCTTAGAATAAAATAGATATTCACAAATAATTTAGATTTCATATGTGCACATAAATGCATTAATACAAGCTACTCAAAAAATACACATTGAATTATTCAAATACTCCAAATATGTTCACACTAGTCACAAGGAATTTCTGATATACTATTACTAGTTTGTATGTGAGGGTATACAATACCAGGAATGTTGAAAAAGCCCACAGGTAAATATTATCCAAGAATCCTTTAACATAAATATAAACATATTCTATAATTAGATTATTAGAAATGCTTATAATGATGCCTAGTACTTTTTCTTTTCCTGTATTCATATCTGATCTTATTTGTAATAATATCCTGTTCCATTTCATTGGTCATTTTTAGCATAGGAACTTTGGGTTTGCTGTGATGCCTGCAGAAATGAATTTGGTTATTTCATAATTTAGTACTAGGCTTTTAAGATATAACCAAATAAAACATAAATGTATTTTGCATGATGTTTTCTTGGCTTGTCCAAATCTTGCCATCCCTTGAAGCCCTACTTACTCTACCTCTCCTTCACATGAAATCTCACAGCTTGAACTTGGAGTGATGATTATTTATCTTACAATTTGCCATATTACAGTGCTGGCATATTTTTCCCCATATTGTTTAACTTTTATGAGATCTTATTACTTCATCCAGATTATAAGTTCCTTGAGGTCAGAGGAAATGTTTTATTTATCTTTGTTTTCTCATTAGCATTTCCCCAGTACCTTGCATAACACAGGTTTTTAATGAATGCCTGTTCAGTCATTGATCAGTCTGCCGATGCTGACATGAAAAATGAGTCAAATCCTCTGGACTTTAGGCTGTTCTTACAGCTTTTACCATCTTGGATGAGAAACACAGAAGTGAAGTTTCTATCATTCAGAAACATGACCAGAATCAACACACCACAATCTGTCCTTCCAAGTTCAAGAGATAAAGCCCAATATTGAGTACTTAGGGCCAAAATACATGATGTGATAAACAGCTACTTATCAAATAACGAGCCAGAAACATGCTTGCCCTCAATTACCCATTTTTCCTTAAAAAAAAAAAAAAAAAAAAAATTCCTCTAAGTATTCTCAAGTACCAACAAACTTCCACCCTTGGCTTTGACTGCAATTTTAGTTTACATGTGGTTTTATTTCCACATACCACCCCCTGCCACAAACGGACAGTACAGTGTACATGAAATGGTGGTTTACTGGACTTTCGGCTTAATCTTTCCATCTATGACAACTACACTTGTGAACATCAAAATGCTCAGATTCCAATAGTCATGTAGGTGCCCCAGTCTTTTTTAAAGGATTCACAGAGAAGAGTTATGCATAACCTTTGGTTGGTACTTCAGTAAATTAGCTAGACATTTTAAAATGCTGTGCAAAGCAGGGATCATGTAGGAAGACAGTATCAACTTTGCCTTGCTGGGGACAACTAAATATATATTTTCTAGAATTTTAACTTATTGCCTCATATATCAGAAAATATTACAAACATAAATGACATATGCTAGATTTCAGTATTATACAACCAACAATGTCAATAAATTCAAAACTAATCATCCCATTGGCTATATTATTTTACAAGTCCAACCCTGCTGGTCTAATTTTAAACAATTACAACAAAACAAATAATGCTTTTTCATTCCTCAGAGAACTACAATATTGCTAAAGGTGTAACGCACAAAGCTCACAATTGTTAAGACTCCTCATGCCCCATCTCAGTCTGGAGATTCACTTTTCCTAGTACCTCAGAAGACTGCTATTTATTCATCCATTAACATATGTTTTACTATGTTAAACATATATTATGAGACAGGATCTACATTTTGATAGTTATTGGAGTGCCTAATGCAAATACATGTTGATATTCATCAAAAAGCCCTACAATATGTTATATCTTTTGGAATATGTGTGAGTACAAAACAACCTGCAATACAGATTGCCAATATGGTTGCGTATAAAATGCTATGTCTCTTTTACTGACTTCATTAATCTCAGAATTAAAATGGCATGAAAACACAATAACCTATAATAATAGCAATACATAATGATAATACATGGTAATATTTAAGTCATGATTCACAGTTTAAAAGCTTCATTTACTTTCTCTCTCTTAGTCAATCATCAGAAAATCCTGGGATAAAGCATCAGTTACTTTTCCTTTTTGCTGGCTAATACAAAAACGTAGGAAGCAAGGTGACATCTCCTAGGTCATTCCACAAACAGCAGTGCTGGGAAGGGAACCAGTCTTCAAGAGAATGCATGAGAGTAATGCAGACTCAACAAATTATAAAATAAAGAGACTGGCCTCTTAAGGGATATTATATAAAAGGATAGAGGAAGAGAAGTATGAGAAAGACAAATGCAGGGAAAAAAAAAAGGTGCAAAGAATTGTGCTGACCTTATGAAAAGCATGTAAAAACTTTCAAGTATGTAAGTATTAAACGTGACTCAAGAAATTAATTCTACAGATGCAAAAGAAATATCCATATATTCAAAATAAAATTTTAATTCACTGGGGACAAAGTCTATTTCTCTATTTGTGAGATAACAATGTAAGCTAATACTAACTTGAACTTTCAGGTCACCGTCATTACTTTTAAGGAAATGAAAGTAGGGTAAAAAATATGGTGCTGGGTAGGTACTCTTTCACTGATAAAGACCACAGAGATTTTTACTTCCAAAATCAGAAATTCAGCCTTTGACCTCTGTGCTTCAGAGAACAGACCTGGAGCTCACTTCATCTCTCTCTAGTCACTACTTGCTCTTTCTCAAGTCACCGTCCACTTGGGCCCTCTATTCCTTCTTCTTCCTCAAATTATTATATAATAATATTGACATTTTTTCAACAAAAATACTATAAAAAGTGAAATATTTTCCATGAAAGGCTTCAACAGAACGACAACAAGGGACTGGGTAATAGAAGAATTTGAACAGGATAAAAATATCAAGGCAATCAATGAAAATATTCTTAAATCCTTTCATTTTACTTATTCATTTATTTATTTTTGAGACAGGGGTCTCACTATGTTGTCCAGGCTGGAGTGCAATGGTTACTTACAAGGGCAATTGTAGCTTACTGCAATCTAGAACTCCTGGTCTCAAGTGATCCTCCTGTTTCAGCCTCCCAAGCAGCTAGAACTACAGGCATTTGTCATCCTACCTGGCTCCATCATTCATTTTAGTAGTAAATTATGATATATATTAATGTCTTTCTTTCTCCATATCTCCAACTTTATGAAAGCATGTCTCTCTTTCCATTAAATTAAATGATTCAAGCAAAAACCAAATTGTCCTAAGCAGCGAATCTATGCCAGTAATTGTGCTGTGGTTGATTGTTCATGAGGGCAAGAGATTTAAGGTTTCACTAAGAGATGGAATGCTATAACAAAACTCACACTCATGTTTGCCCAAATTAATATAACTTGGTATGTGGGGCTGAACTGCAGTCAGGAAATTTTCTTGACCATGAAGGCAGGGCAATTACAGAGAAGAGGGGAAGGCTTATTCTATCTGCTATATTTGTGATTCATAAATATACTTGTGCACAGATTATATTCTCAGAAATGGTCTATTATCACCACATTAAAAACATTATAATCATCAATATATTCTGAAATTGCTGTCTAGATAAGGACATAATATGTATGATATCATTTTTAAAATATTATTCTATACCAATCCCTTACAAAGTTCTATATATATGTGTGTGTATATATATATGTATATATACACACACATATATACACACATATATGTATATATACTACTTTAAAATATGTGTGTGTATAAATGTATATAATCACTTTATTAGTTTAGAAAGAAACAACATTATGGGCTTTTTTAAACCAAGAAATATTAAGTAATTTTCATGACAATTTAGAGTCAAAGTCCAGACTTATCTCAAAAGTTAGCTGAAAAGCACTTACCATTGTTAAATATTATTTAAATCTAAAAATCTGTGGATAGCTTATAATTGAACATATCTGAATACAAAATAATCATTGTTTTCTTTTTCTTTTTTTACCTTATAGTCTTTGTAATCAAAATCAAACCTTTATGTTGAAAAGTGAAGTATTTTACTTACAAAGCCAAATAAGACATATAATACAATAGACATTTTATTTCAATTATATTCTATTTTTTATAATGTTAACTTAAATAAGTCTCACAGACACACAGAAACACGTGTACACACAAAAACACATGTAGATCTCAGATTATAAATTATAGCTAAAAAGTGCAAAATGTAAGGTTGACATATTTTGAAATGCTTACATATCACCATTGTGTCAGTATTAAAGATATTTTCTGGCTATAGCAGTGTCTAGCCTTGATACAAGACTACTGAAAGGATATTCTTAATAGTCTTTACATGTGGATAGTTGTTAAAAATTTTTTAAGTGGAAATATTAAACTGAACAAATATATACTGTTCAAGTAGACCAATATCAATAAAATGATTTGTTTTCAAATTAGTCCCTAATTTGAATTGCTGATACAATTATTTTTCTAACATATGCACGTATCCTACAACTAAAACATGCATCGCTTCATTTTTGAACATGCTTTGCTTTAAAATAGGTTCAGGATAATTAGCTGAATAGAAACATAAGCTATGGCTTGTAGATAATAATGGATGCCTAAAAATATGGCTCAATGATAATGGCCTTGATAATCAGATGACGATTTTGAGTTAGTAAAATGTATGTTTCTAATCCTGTTTTACCTCTGCTGTTATAACTCTCTCTCTCTCTGTATATATATACAGTTTTTTATTTGTTATGAACAAAGAAGCATCATAGCGTAAAACAAGAGTTGTGAATAAAGATGCACTGTTTGTAAAACCATAGAAAAGGAGAGCAATGACTTTTTACCTCACAGGGCTATTGGAAGAATCTGGGTCATGAGCTGCTACAGTGCCAATGATATTCCCAACCTGGGTAGCTTCTGACACCTCCATAGGGTACAAGGGTGAAGAGAACACAGGGGGCTCATCCACATCTTCCACAATTATTTTCACGGTTGTTGTGTCGCTGAATGGACCCAAGCTTAGAAAGCGGGGGTCGGCATCTTTATTTGCAGCTTCTATCCGTAGTGTGTAACTTGTTTTGGCTTCAAAATCCAGTTCCTGTAAAGAAAGTCATTAGGAAAATTAAATTACCAGTTAAATAGTCAGCAAAGCAGAGCCTTTTCATTCATGAATGTCAATAAGCACAGGAAAGACTCTGTCATGTAAATGCGCCATCAGCATTCAAAAATAATAAGTAACAACACCAATCAGAATTCTTGCTGCTTTCCTGGCTCACAAACAATGGTTAGTGCTTCTGAATCAACTTCATCCACTCTGCTGCTGTACGCTGCATGAACAGACAGATATCAGTCTTTGGAATATTATTTGAAAGAAAAACTGATCAAATTTATATTTTTCCAACAGGGACTTTCAATGTAATATTCTTCAACCATGTGATTTAACTGTACTACCCAGGGTGTACTTTAAAAATTAAGAAAAGCATTACTTTCAACTGAATTTCTCATTTAAAAGTCAGTGATTTGGGGGACTACATTAGGATTCTGAGTTTTCAGGGCATTCAAAGTGTGGTTGCAGGGGCAAGTGTGCCATCCTGAGGTTGTTCAGTCTGCAAACATGGCCAGTTCTTCTCCATGAAGCACCCATCATGTCTGCCTTCACTATTCTTCCATCAAAATATACTAGATTATTGTGGGAACCAGAGTCCAATATTTCAATGTAGGTTCTTTCTATTTTCCCTAAGTGTCAGCCAATCTGAGAAATAAAGAGAAAGAGTACAAAGAGAGAAATTTTACAGCTGGGACTTTGGGGGTGTCATCACATATTGGTAGGACTATGATGATGACCTCGAGCTGTAAAACCAGCAAGTTTTTATTAGGGATTTTAAAAGGGGAGGGGGTGTACGAACAGGCAGTAGGTCACAAGGAATCACATGCTTCAAAGGGCAATAAAGATCACAAGGCCAGGCAAAATTAGAATTACTGATAAGGGTCTCTGTTCCACTGTGCACGCGTTGTCTTGATAAACATCTTAACAGGAAACAGGGTTCGAGAGCAGACAAACTGATCAGGCTAGAATTGACCAGGCTGGAATTTCCCAATCCTAGTAAGCCTGAGGGTACTGCAGGAGACCGGTGTGTATTTCAGTTCTTATCTCAACTGCATAAGACAGACAATCCCAGAGCAGCCGTCTATAGACCTACCCCCAGCAATGCATTCCTTTCCCAGAGTCTCAATTATTAATATTCCTTGCTGGGAAAATAATTCAGTGATATTTCTCCTACTTACACATCTGTCTATAGGCTCTCTGCAAGAAGAAAAATATGGCTCTATTCTGCTCGATCCTGTAGGCAGTCAGACCTTATGGTTATCTTCCCTCATTGCCTGAAAATCACTGCTGTTCTGTTCTTTATCAGAGTACACTGATTTCATATTGTTCAAACACACATATTTTACAATCAATTTGTACAATAGTGGTCCTGAGGTGATGTACATTCTCAGTGTATGAAGATAACAGGATTATGAGATTAAAGTAAAGACAGGCATAAGAAATTATAAGAGTACTGACTGGGGAAGTGATAAATGTCCATGAAATCTCCACAATTTGTGTTCTTCTGCCTCAGCTCCAGCCTTGGGGCCTCCATTCGGGGTCCCTGACTTCCTGCAACACTAGATCTCTATTTTAGGAGGTTAACAGTTATAGCTCAGAATCTTTACACTGTATCTAATTTTCCAACAGGATTTACATGCTACAATTTTCCTAAAAATTAGTGACCAACTCAAACTGCAAGAGAGCTGAAAAAGGTTGTAAGGACAATTAAACTAGTTGCACTAGCACAGCATCATCTTTGAAAAATAAAAATCATATACACAACATGTAGACATTGTTTGTGACAATAACATGCTCCTTTTTCTTCAGTGGATACAGAAAGTAACAGCTTTTTATGACTTTCAATTTCAGTATCACCACTGCAAAACTGTCCCCAAATTCTTTTTACATTTAATGATGTAAAACAAAAAGAATTAAAAATAGTTTAAAAAAAATGTATAGGAATACTGTAAAATATAATACATATTTTACTTAGTTGTCAGTATATAAAAATAAAACATTATGAAATGTGAGCTAATATATAATACTGAGAATTGTAATTCTAATTCATTCACTATATGTTTGGGTGTACGTGTGTGTATATATGCAGGCACACATTTATTCCAACTTAACCCACAAAGGATGTGATAACCAAAATAAATAAAACAATATAGTTACATAAGTATAAAATAGGATATATATACACATACTGTACTGTGTATCATATATCCCATACTGTGTACAGTGCATATTCACTTTGCTACATAAAATATAACACATATATACACACATATACACATTTTATATAGATAAATACATGTATACACATTACATATATATACACATATCTGTGTGTGTATATATACATAAGAATATATACATATATATATGTATATTTGCACACAAATATTAAAAAGATCCCATGGTTTATCTCTGAGTAAGAAAAATGAAAAAAAAAATGTATAAATCAATACAGAAAATAGGCTTACAATATCTAGACCAGACTGTACTTACTAAAATGCTTATTTAACATCTGTCTTAGCTACTAGATTTGAAGCCCTGACCATTTTGTTCATCACTATTACTCCCAGTACCTAAAACACTTTTGATACATAGGGGAGTCTCAATACATTCTTGAGTCTCCTTTTCTTGAATTAACACAACAACAACAACAAAAATTAGAACATAGATATTCAGGTACAAGAGGCTGAAAATTAAACTATACATCTGACCCAAAGAATCCTGCTGGTCAAAGTGAGAGGCAAGGGAAGAAATATAGTCAGCTATATTGTTTTTCTTAAGCACAAAAACACTTTATAGAATTGCTCCAGAATGAAAAAGTTTTAATTCTTATCTAAGGTTTTACATAAAAATGTTGGGGCACATGGAAAATGCTGCCATAACAACATTGTATTAACAAACTCAGTAATATTTTTATGAAGCTAACTTTTTTGGTTTTTTATTATCTAAGAGCTGGTTTTGTCCAATGGTGGTCAAACAAAGGTGAGAATCAGAATCTACCAGAGACCCTTCTAAATTATGTGTGGCCCCTTTCAAGGGATTTTGATTCAGCAGGTGCAGGATGAGACACAGGCAGATATATTTTTAGAAGGCTCATCAGGTGATTCTGATGCAAATCTTCTCTTAAGAAACCTGACCTATTCATTAAAATTTTCTTGGGCCTATATAAAAATTCCAACCTTTATTTTGGGGACACTTCTCAGAACCATTCTCATTTACCTAAAAGCATCTACTGAGAAATCAAAACATACTTGTAAATAGTTTGGATAATAATCTCAGTTTGTCCTCATATTCTTTATAAAAATTACTAACTATAAGAGAAAACTTATTTTCAAATATGATGTGTCTGTATGTAAAAGAATATGCTTAGAAATCCCATTTGTCAGCTCCTTTCAAATCAATGCAAAACCACAACTTTATTTATTCAGGTTTTCACATTAGCAAAAGGCATACCAAGTATTTCTGTATTCAAGTAAAAGTTTGTCTCCCTTATGAAAGAATAATTTAAAATTTACTGCAGAAATGAATGCAATTTTTTATAGCAACTTATTTTTTTAAATGTGTCTAAAAGGCAGTAACATGAGGTATAGACATCTGGATGCTAAAAAGTCATGATGAAACACAGTATTATGCATGATGATTGGTTGCCTAAAAGCTATTATGAAAATAAAGCAATAAAAGAATTCATGTGAAAGTCTATGAATCAAGATTACAGACAAAAGGAATTGCTTCACAAAATTATTTTCAGAGCCTATCAGAATATGCCAGGATCTAGTTTTCAAAGAGGGGAACAGTGTGATGAATAAGACTGTTAAGCATTTGAATAAAAAATAAAGTTTTACAGTAAAATTTACTTTTTATTTGATTTCTCATTGTTGATTTCTAGATAAGTAATATAGTCCATAACGATTAGAATTAATTATTAGGATTATACTTGAAAAATAATAACAATGGAGAAAAGACACCAAAGAAGGAAATAGAAAAAAATAAAAGTAATTTCTAAATAAATTATCTCGATGTTTGAAAGTACATTGTATTAGTTCGTTTACTCGCTGCTGATAAAGACATACCCGAGATTGGGCAATTTACAAAAGAAAGAGGTTTAATGGACTCACAGTTCCACGTGGCTGGGGAGGTGTCACAACCATGACAGAAGGTGAAAAGCACATCTCACATGGTGGCAGACAAGAGAAGAAGAGCTTGTGCAGTGAAACTCCCCCTTATAAAACCATCAGATCTCATGAGACATATTCACTACCATAAGAGCAGTATGGGGGAAAACCGCCTCCATGATTGAATTATCTACCACTGGTTCCTTCCCACAACACATAAAAATCATGGGAGCTACAGTTCAAGATGAGATTTGGGTAGGGACACAGCCAAACGTATCATACGTATAAGTGGATACTTACATAATTGGAAATTTAACCAGGATTAAAAAAAAAAAAAAAGCTTCTTCTCTCTTTTAGCATCTCTAGCATTCCCAGAATGACTCTGTGGCTTCACCACTTCAAGTCTGGAATCAAATAAGGGACATACAGACCGGTAGATACTTTTTGAGTGACATCTGTGTTAGAGACACTAAAAGAAAGAAGCAGTTTTTTTGTTGTATTAGTTTCCAAAGTACAAAAGTAGTCTTTAAATTTATAATTAATTTTAAATTTATAATTAATTTTGTAATTTAAATTTATAAATTAGGATTAAATAAAAAGAATTAAAAAGATTAAATAAAAAGAATTCTGTGTAAGGCAAGAGTCTGCAAACTTTTTTGTGAAGTGTAAGTATGAGTGACTATTAGCCTTTGCAGGGCATATATTGTCTGCCATATGAAAATGAATAAATACAATTGTTTGCAAATAGTAATTTTTTGATAGTTAACTCAGATTTTAAATTCCATATGGCTTTCATGTATCATGACACAGTTTTCTTGTTTTGAGATGTTCCAATCATTTAAAAATATAAAACCATCTTCATCTCCTGGGCTGGGCTAA